GGCGGATAGGGACCAGGATAAGGATCTCCCACTCTGGGCCTCTTTAATGTTGGAACAGTTCGCCTCTTCTGCCGATCGAATCGAAAAGGCCCTAACATCCTCCCTAGCCAAATTGACTGATGGCATTGAAGAGGTTACACGGCGTCAGAGCGAAATCATATCTCGCCTTGATGCATTGGAGGAGCGCGTGACCAGCCTGCAGAATTCGAGTCCACTGGATCAAAACCTTCTTTACTCTACCCTCGTCAAAGTGAAGGCCGATAGCGACAAAATCGAAGGTAAACTTAGGCGCATAACCTGGGTTGGAATAGGAGAACAGGCTGACGAACACTCGACGAAAAAATTCGATCAGGAAGCTCTACGTGAGGTGATTCTCTCCTCTGGTGACGATGAGCTTATCGAGGAATTCTCAAAAGGAAGAATAACGGCTCATCGTCACCCGCCCGTGAAGCCGAGGAATCAAGGTGGGCGCGACCGAATCATAAAAATTGAGCTTCCCTCTTCTGCTATGAAGGACAGGCTACTGCGTCACATGAAGTCGGGACGACAGAGCCTAACAAGGCGTTTCGTCCATTCGTATGCTCGCAGAGATTATACGGTGGAGGAATTGGAATTGGACCGAAGCTTACGCAAACAGGCAGGTTTGGCCAACGCGAAGGTTGGAAAGCTTCAGTATGTGGTCAGAGACCTCCAAATACACCAGTTGAAGAATGCAAGACAGCTGTCGCATCGAGGTTCCACCTCTTTTTCGGAGTCAGCGAAAGCTTCATCAGGGAGTTGGGTAGGATCCATGGATGCATCCATCGTCGGCACTTCCAGGTCTCCAAACATTTCCCCATAGGGCCAGGCCCCTCAATCTGACCAACATGATCGAATTCATTGGCCTGCAGTTTTATCCCACGGTGAATGTTTTCTATTCAATGCCCGCTCTGTTAACAACAAGCTCCCCGATCTCCACTACCTTTTGGCGCACAGCCCATCTGCCCTCTTCGTGACGGAGACATGGTGCAAACCTGATAAAATAAACAACGATACTCTATCAGCTGGCCATCCCTATGTGGTGTACCGCTGCGATAGAGGTGAGGATATCCCTGGGGGCGGGGTGGTTGCTCTCATTAGAGAAAACATAAACTCATCTCTCATTTCGTCTCTTAATTTCTCTATCTACCTGCAGTGCGTTAGAGTAAGAGTTTCCTTCGATAATACTGAGTGCATTATTGTTCTCTGTTACCGTAGCCCCTCATGCAAAAATGATAGTTTTGAAGAGTTCATTCTTTATCTCGAAGAGTTATGTCAAAATCAGACTCCTCTCATTATCCTTGGCGATTTTAACTTTTTTGATATATCGTGGTTTCAGTCGTCTGGGAGCCTGGGCAATGGGTGTCCTGGTAGGCAGAGTTCACTCTTTTATCGCTTCATTCAGGGCCACAATTTTAGTCAAACAGTCTCGCACCCTACCCGTGGGCGTAATACTCTAGACTAGGTTCTTACGAAGAATCCCTCCCTCATAACTACCCCCTCGGTTCAGGCTCCTTTCTCTACCTCCGATCATTCTATGGTAGCTTTCTCATTAGCAGGTAATACAATTGAGGCCGCTCCGAAACCGAGAATAGATTTTGCTAGAGGCGACTATAGAACTATATGTCTTCACCTTCTTGCAGTAGACTGGCATCGTGTTTTTGACTCTATTGAGACCATTGATGAGTGCTACTTCGTTTTCGCGAATTTTTGCCACTCTCTTATTTCTAGATTTATCCCAGTCTCAGAGGTTACAAAACGAGCCTTTCGCCTCCCTCGCTACTTGCAACTTGTGGAGGATCGAACTCGACAGTTAGCCAGAGATGGGAATCATTTACACAACCGACGTTACCTTTATCTCTCACGCCTATTTAAAAAGAAATTAGCGAAACTCAATCTCAAATATGAAGAATACATTGCTTCTTCTGAAAATGTGAAAAGGTTTTGGAGTTATTGTAACGCTAGACTGAAGGAATATTCTTCTATTGGGACTATCACAAACTCCTCTGGATCGGTGTTCTTTCGACCAAGAGAAAGCTGATGTTTTTGCTGAATATTTCCAAACGTTTTACAAGAAGCTCGCTATTCCTACTCCGTGCGATGTGACTAAACCCCGAAGAACACTAGACTGGGTGGATCTCCATTGTGAAAATGTTTTTCGTACTCTGAAAAAGCTTCCTCTTCGGTGTTCCACGTCACCTGATGGTCTACCTTACATTTTTCTCAATAAAGCTGCAGAAGGTATTGCACCCGCCCTCACGCATCTTTTCAACAGAATACTTCTGGAAGGAACCGTACCTGCGATCTGGCGATTGGGCTTGGTGAGGCCAATACATAAGAGAGGGAGTAAAAGCGATTTTAGAAATTATAGGCCCGTGTGTCTCACCTCTTCAGTCA